CACCTGTCAGAGTGGCTATCATCAACAAATCAACAAAAGACAATTGCTGGTGAGGATTCAGAGATAAAGGAACCCTCCTGCACTGCTGTTGGGCATGCAGACTGGTGCAGCCACTGTGGAAAACAGTATGCAGTTTCCTCTAAAAATGGAACTCCCATTTGACCCAGTGATCCCACTTATATCCCAAGAAACAAGAAACACCAATTAGAAAGGATATATGCACCCCTATGTTCATAGCAGCATAATTCACCATAGCTAAAATGGAAACAGCCTAAGTGCCCAACAGTAGATGAGTGGATTAGAAACCTGTGTTCCATCTACTACTACCTGCGGTAAAAAAGAAAGAGTTCTTACCATTTGCAACAGCATGGATGGAACTGAAGATCGTTGTGCTAAGTGAAATAAGCCAGTTAGAGAAAGAAATATCACATGATTTCACTCATTTATGGAATATAATGAACAACATAAACTAATTAATAAAAACAGATCCAGAGAGAGAGAGAAAAACATCAATCAGACCATTAAACCTCAGAGGTTAGGTAGGGAGGGTGGGGGTAAGGGGTGGAGGTCAACCAAGGGATTGTATGCATGCACATAAGCCTAACCAATGGCCACAGACAATAGAGGGGTGAGGGCATAACTTGTGAGTGGGGGGTGGATAGGTGGGTAATGGGGGAATAAGGACACATATGTAACACCTTAATCAATAAAGAATTTTTAAAAAATAAGAAATAAGCATCTAGAGTTGTTTTTAAATCTTCTTTGTACTATCAATCAAAATTGTTTTCTCTTCATAAAAGGAAAGGCTTTAAAAAGCATCCTCAAATATATTTAACATACGACATGTTTATTCAGTTAGGGTAATACATTTGTTCTGAATATGTATTTGATGTCAATTAAAGAAAGGCATCAATTTTGGTACTGTAAAATTTGCTCCTTTCTAATATAACTTACATAGATATGTGACATAAGAAATAAATAGCCCTAGCCGGTTTGGCTCAGTGGATAGAGTATCAACATGCAAACTCAAGAGTCCCAGGTTTGATTCCTGTCAAGGGCATGTACCTTGGTTGAGGGCACATAACCAGTAGGGTGTGTGCAAGAGGCAGCTGATCGGTATTTCTCTCATGGATCTTTATAGCTTTCTATCCTTCTCCCTTTCTCTCTGTAAAAAGTCAATAAAATATATATTTTAAAAAGAAATAGCTTTTTTATGAATAATTTTCTATGTTCTCATGCTTGTTTTACTATTGTTGTCAAATTAGCTCATCATTGTCTTAATTTTACTGTTGCTTACCAAAATTATGTTTTTAAGAGCTTATCAAGTTCAAAGACAGTTCAAGTTTAGTTTTTTAATATATCCAGTTAGTTAGTTCACTGTCAAAATCTAGGTAGATGTTTACTTCCAAATGCATTATCTGTAAATCCCCAAATGCATTATCTATAGATCCTCACCTTCTGGCACTGGACTCACTTCCAAAAGAAATAGTGCAAATTCTGAATTGTTTGCTGTTTTCAATTCTTACAAATAAAATGGGAAGTCAAGTATGAGAAAATTAAATTGCTATGGTCAAATGTATATTTTTCTCAGAACCCTATAAACAACTATTGTTTATTGCAATGAATATTAGTTTCCTTACAGAAATATGAGCTATATATATAAGAGTATATATATATATAGCTCATATTTAAAGTTGATAAATATTTCAAAATAGAAATAACCCACCTTACATAAGTTTAGTCTCACATTTAGATGGAGGGAATTTTTGCTAAGTGTGTTAGAGTATGTTGTGGTAATTAATCCCCCATAAACAACTAACTCTCTCTCTCTCTCTCTCTCTCTCTCTCTCTCTCTCTCTCTCTCTCTCTCTCTCTCTCTCCCTCCAGAGGCCTAAGAACTGATTATTTTCATCTAATCATATAGTAACTGTATTTAATTTCAGGAATAATATCATGAATATATAATCTACTTAGACAACCAAGCATACCAGTTTGATAGGACATGAGCATTTCAATGCCAAAAGTGTCCTAGCAAACAGTTGAGTTAGTTAACCTAAATCCACTCTACTACAATTGGACCCATTTTAAATAAAGAACTATTTTCTGTTTCATGAATAAAGTTTGAAATATAATAAATGCTCAAATCTATTTCCATACATCCACACATTTTTGAACAAATGTTTGTTACTTTATCCATGAATTCAATGGGAGATAGTATTAAAAATTCCAAGGATTAATCTGGGGAGATTAATAATTTATCTGAGTGGTTTCATATAAACTTTTTAACACCCCTATAGGTGCAAATAAAATTGATGGAGAAAAATTAATATTACCCTGTCACCTCAGGTCATTGTGTAATTTTTAGCATCTTAAGGATAGAGAGGACCATTTATTCTACTGGAAATTCACTTCACTGTAAAATAGAGCCAATTTTAAAGTGACTAAACTCCTCAAAAAACACCAGTCCTGCCATACAATTGATCTTGGGTCATTAAATTTTCTATTTAAGATTATGAGAAATAAAAAAATAGTATTTTAATAGTCAGTGAATAGTATATTAGTTACCATGTCTACCTAAATTCAGAATGACTACTTTTCATTATCAACATTTTTGGAATCCATACCCAGAAATAATTTGATTTATTAAAAATTATTTTTTAAATAAAATAGCAGTATTCAGAGAAAAATATATGGATTTGTGATCAACTTAAATGATTTTCTAAAAAGTATCATTACATGATTATCAATGGTCTAACATCCACTTATCTCTTAGGAATATTGTCTGAAAATATGATTCTCTCAATAAACTGGAATGAATTCACCAAAATAAAACTCATCAGTTAGAAGAGTTATGTTATAATATATTTTCATAATTTCTCTTTTTTTAAGGCTGCTAGAAAACTTAGAGCTATTTAGAAGTGAAGTTTTATTTTACTTGTTCAAAACTCTCTATTCTAACATATCACTATTTTACTTTACTCCTGTTCTATTAACCTGCCTTAAAGGTTATATTGTATCATACATCGAAGCTATTGTTTTTGTAGAATGTGTATGAATTCCATATGAACACAAAAGTCATGAATGAGAGTTCAGATTCAGAAATAGACCTGCACTTAAATTACATAACCTCTATATGTTCTTTAATAAAATAAATTATTACTAACACACAGTTTGGTAATTCAGTGGCAATGTATTGGTGTTGCAGTTATTTATGAAAGGTAATAAGAGCTCTAATTTCCCATCCCAAATATCCACCTATACATCCCAACTTTGTCTAAAGGCATGATACCTTCAATGTCCTCATTCAAGATGTAGGGGTCTAATAACAGATAAATGGTCCTGACTTTCCTTGAGACCAATTTTGAGGGACTATTTTTTATTCATAAAAAGCCAGAGCCCAATTTGTCTCCCAGTAATATTAGAAATAACAGCATGAGCACCACAGCACCTCTGGGAGCAGGGACCCACATTATTCCTGTTATTTTGCTTGGCTTCTGTCTTCAGTAGGCGGCATCTACTCCTTACTGGTCAATATCCCCAAAAGTTATTACAGAAGATGTGGATTTATTTACTTATCTTATTTTCAATGGATTCCTCACTCCTGAATATGATAGCAATGATGGTTGTATATCTTTGGTGCAGCTCTCTCTGATTTTCTTACCTGAAAACACACACCCATGAGCAACACAAAGCAAAACAAAAACTTAAGAGATGGCTTTTAAGCTAAGTTTTTTCAGGTTTTTGTGTTTGGTTTGGTTTAAGTTGCAGAGATGAGTCTACATAATATGCTACTTTGTTAAGTTCATTTTGTGCAACCATAGATTGAAATATATTATGCCTTCATATTTTTAGGTCAAGGAGGAACATAAGTCCAATAAGACACATGTTCAATGACAGTGAAGATTAGTTGATGTCATTTGAAGAATCAAGATTCTAAGTCTTAGTATAAAATTATGGGTTAAAATTTTTAGTGACATCAAGACAGAAATGTTTGATAGAATTGTACTCTCTTAGTAGTTATTCAGTATAATTAAGTGATGATTTTTCTGATTATTTCTAATATTCAGTGTTGATTCCAGTTATCTATATAGTAATCAGATTCATACTTTGTCTATCCATTAAGAAATTGTATTGTGAATTAAAAGAGAAGGTTGATATAACTTAAAAACAATTAGAACAAAATTCACTTCTTTTGGTAATTCAATTAAAGAAAATGTCAGATGTTAGTGATTCCTTGTGTCCCATGACTCAGCAGTGCTTCCTGCTGTTAGATTTGTGGATAATTTGCTCATTGGAAAAGCAGAGAAGAAGAAATAGCTTTAAGATGTGCTCTAAACAGACTATAAACTAGTCTGTCTCCAGGGCTTACCCTTATTTTATTGGTTTATTTTATCCCAAGACCTCAGTATAGTACTGTGTATTAAAAATTAATAATGGCTTCAGAGTAATTTTAAATTTCTTATATTTAATTGATTTCAATGTGGATGAAAACAGTTATAAATTTTGTCTTTTAAAATACTAGAGATTGTCATAGATCATCTTATTAGGGAATATGCCCTGATTATATTAAAATATTTTCAAATGATTTAAATTTAAAAAAAAATTCAAATAGTTCCTTGGACTTTCATTGTGATAAACCTATTGAGTCATATGTGTTCTATGTAGTGTGTCTGTTAATGTTTACCACAATTGCACTTAACTTAAACAATTATTGTCCAGCAGATGGAAGTTTGTAGACTACTGTTGTAGACTGAGGAGTGACTCAAAGCCAAAACAAATATTACATAGGCACTTTACTAGTAAGCATGAACATGATGAAAGTTGGTATAGAAAGATAAGTTAAAAGAATAGGAAAAATACACAGAACATTAAAAGGTATGTCCTATAAACATTTATTTTATAAATTCTAAGTTTTAGAAATTACTACTGTGTATTTTATAAGCCAAAATGTATATGAAAACATTTCGGGAGGATATGTATCATTTTTCATTTTTCCCCCTAATATGTATTCACCCCAGGCTGCACAAGAAATGCTTATTGGTTTCTGAAGAATGTTCCTTTAATCCTCTTGTACCCTTGCTACCATGGATCCATCAGCCATGATATTTGCCAAACTATAGTTCCTTCTTCTCTTCAATTTAAATATGTGTGGCAATTGGGATTTGCCAAACTATAGTTCCTCCTTCTCTTCTATTTAAATATTTGTGGAAATTGGGATTTTAGGTAAAAAAAAAATTATTTTAATTTTTTAATTGTCTGAATCACTTCAACTTTTGCTGGGTTAAGTATTCACTTTTTTAATCACTCAAAATGTTTTATATCTTAAAATACAAAAGAAAAAAAATGTAATATTCATATTTTTTTATTTGTTCCCTTATTGGACATATGCTTATCACCTACTACATTTCTGGAATTCTGGTTGGCTACATGGAGAGGCAAAAATAGGCTTACAGTTATTCAAATAGAAAATAATATTGTACAATAATTAATAACTAATAATACAAGAATAAACTCTGTTTTGTGTACTTACTATTATTACCTACTTTTGTTCCACCCTATATAATTGTGAAGAAGACTAGAACTATTTCCTGCTCTCATAGATCTAGCTATTGTTTTGGAAAGTTTTTGGGCAAACACATGATAAGTGTATAATTGTAAATTGAAGTAAAAGGTTTCTATAGAAAGAAACATCTTCCTATGAATACTTATACCTAAAGAAACTATTTTTAGGGGAAAAAATAAAACATGAGCAATTGGATGAGTAAGTTGGGAGGTCAGGTAAGGATTCCATGATAAAATGACCCTTACACCAGCGTTTTTCAACCGCTGTTCCGCTGCACAGATGTTGCCTGGTGTGCCGTAGGTGCAGACAAGACAAGAATTTTATAATTTTTCACTATTTTGTTTACTTAATATTTCATAATAAAGTAATTATAAAATACTTTCTTTGTGTTTATTTGATTCCTATTCAAGAGAATTACTTTATATATAGTCAATATAGGCACAGAGTTAAATTTTTTAACATTTTCTAATGGTGGTGTGCCTCGTGATTTTTTTCATGAAACAAGTGTGCCTTTGCCCAAAAAAGGTTGAAAAACACTGCCTTACGCCAAGACATGGAGAATGAGGCCAGAGTTGAGGATTTGGAAAATTGAAGGAATTATGCTTAAAACAAACAAATAAACAGAAACCGTTTAAAAGAGAAAATGTTTTGGTTATGCAATAAATATAAGTTTTGGAAATCTACTGTACAACATATGGTCGATGATTAATAGTATACTATATAATATTTTTATCTTGGCTAAAATGATATCGTAGATCGTAAGTTAAATGTTCTTGTCACAAAAATAAAAATAATGAAAATAAACAAAGTGGGTGGGAAAACTTTTTCAGAGGCAATGGGTAAGTTTTTTATATGATTGTGATTATTGTTTCATGGCTATATACTTATCTCCAAACATATCAAGTTGTATATGTTCAACAACTACTACTTTCTCAATGTCAATCATATCTCCAATAAAACAGGTGGGGAAAAAACAAAAACAAAAAACAAACAAACAAAATACACACAAACAGAAAACAAAAGTACAGCTAAAACCCATTTGGCTCAGTGGATAGAGCCTCAACCTGAAGACTCCAGGATTCCAAGTTCTGTTCTGGTCACTGGCATGTACCTTGGTTGTGGGCACATCCCCAGTAGGGGGTCTGCAGGAGGCAGCTGGTAGGTGTCTCCCTCTCATTGATGTTTCTAACTCTCTATTGTTCTTCTGTCCTCTCTGTAAAAAAATCAATAATATATATAGTTGATTTTGTATTTTGTATTTTTGTTTATATATTAGAAGATTTAAATCCTTTAAAGGCCTAGCTGCTATAATTCTGAGAAGAAGAGTAAAAATAAGGCTTGGGAGAGCAATAATTTAATGCTAGAATTAAAATATTGGCTTAAACATTCAGACTTTTATTCTAAAAGAAATATGAAATAATTGGAAAGTTTTATACATTTAATAAAAAAATCAAGTGGAGAGATGGATTGGAGAAGGTAAAAATGGTAGAGTGTGATAATCATAGCTAAAATATTTGGAAGTTCTTATTTATGAATTGTATACAGAAAGCAAATGGTAGAGGTATCAATAGAAATTCTATTTTTTTGGCTTTAACACTTGAAATAAGTGTAATACATTTCATTAAATATTTTTAATTGTTTTATACACAGGCAGTCCTATTTCAAAACCTATATTAATGAGCATACTTTTCTGTTCTTTGATTACACTTTGAACGCTATTTGACTTAATTTATGCAAATTAATCCACATTCTGAAAACTGTATGATACTCCAATTAATTCTATCAAGGGATATTTCTTCTGTCAATTATATTTTGTCATTATAGTTTATCAACAATCAGCAAATTAGTAGATTTGTTATGTCTGTTCTCAACTAATGGATTACTGTATTCAACTGGCAGCAGCTGCACTTATAATGCTACTATAACATTAGAACAATGTGGAAATAAACTAACAATTAGTCTTTTAAACAGAAAACATGATAATTTGTTTCATCATGGTCATAAATTGCTATTCCGGAGAGTTAACAACTCCTAATGACAGAAATAGTTATCGGTTCATTAAGTAAATTACTCTAAAGATCAAACATGGTAGTAGATTGCAATGGCTTCTTGATTATATTGTTAGTGATCAAAAGCACTTTAAAGAATGGGTTATAAATACTTATTATTTCACAAAGGACACAAACAAACAAACACAACAACTGTGTTTAGAGAAGTTACCTAAAACATCTGGTCTTGGGACTATTTAGGAATTGTGTTAGCTCAGAGGTTTAAACTTGGCCACATATAGTCACTTGAGGTGGCTTTTAAATGATACTTATAGTTCTACTTCCACTACAGAATAATCAAACTGGCATTGTAGTGAGGTGGACACAGGAGATCTGTGCAGGCTCCCCAAATGCTTTTAATGTGCAGATTAAGAAGCACAATCTATTGTTACCAGCCAAATCAATTCATGGTCTTCAGTGCCAACATCATTTTTATGCTTGATTTCCCTTTGTCTCAATGTAGGAATAATGCATGTGTATATTCACTTAGTAATAAACATTGACATTCTTTGAGAACTAAAAATTACTAAAGATAATATTCACAACAATAAAATAGCAAACATATTTTTAAGGAAAATATTGATAATAATAAATAGGGAATAAAATTACTCTGATAAATTAAGCAAATAAAGTCAATTTTATGAATGAGTAGGATAAGATCTATTTTCTAAGATATAGGGATAATAAGAAGTCAGAATTGTTCATGGATAAATCAGCTTTGAGAAATTATCATCAAAGTAATATAAGCATATGTAATTATAACTTCATGAATCTATGGTAATAAACATAGCTAATTATTACCAAACTAGAGGCCTGGTGTGTGAAATACGTACACTCGGGGAGGAGGTCCCTCAGCCTGGCCTGCGCACTCTCATGGTCCGGGATCCTTTGGGGGATGTCTAACTGCCGGCTTCACAGAGGTGGGAGAGGCTCCTGCCACTGCCATTGCATTTGCCAGCTGTAAGCCTGGCTTTTGGCGAGTAGTGCTCCCCCCGTAGGAGCACACTGACCACCAGGGGGCAGCTCCTGCATTGAGTGTCTGCCTACTGGTGGTCATTGTGTGATATAGTGACTGGTTGTTCCACCAACAGGCTGAAACTGTCTCTGACATTCCCTGAGCAGTCCCAGATTGCAAGAGGGCTCAGGCCAGGCTGAAGTACCCCACCAGTGTATGATCAGGGCCAGGGAGGGATATGAGAGGTTGGCCAGCTGGGAGGGACCAAAGGAGGACTTCAAGGTGTGTTCAGCTTATCTCGCTCACTCCCGATTGGCTGGACCCCAGCAGCAAGATAACCTACCTGTCTGAGTGTCTGCTTCCTGGTGATCAGTGCTATGATAGTGACTAGTCTACCAGTCAACTGTCTTCCCTCTCGTGGTCAGTGCATATCATAGTGAGCAATTGAGTGGCGTGAGCATATCATTAGCATGTTACATTTTGATTGGTTAAACAACCAACTGGACAACCAGACACTTAGTGTTAGCCTTTTATTATATAGGATACAAATTGTGAGAACTCAATATCAGAGATTTTCAAATGACTTTGGCTGTCCAAGCAAAGGAATCCAGTGTGATACAGTTCGATTGACAACAAATATTTAAGAAGAGGCACAAAAATTATTTGTTATGGTTAGTACAAAGTTTAAACAATGCAACTACTTTTGATAGTGTATTTTAAAAAAGCAGATTTTAGGATAAGTGCAAAAAAGAAAAAAATGTAAATAGAATGACACATTTTATGTAATTCTCATTTATTTTCTGGTACTGCTATTAAGATCTTATTTCCTATTATTTCATAGAATAATGAAGAAAAACATTAAAATCAAGCTAGTAAGTTTGCATGGGGTGCATTAATTTCACCAGCAGTAAAATTATTTTAATTAAGAGAATTTTCTACCAACTAAATGAAGTGCCTTACACGCCCAATCAATTCTTGCCAATAAGATTGCTCTACAAATAGGGATAGTAATTAATTAGGAGAAGCCCCTTCAAGGACAACTGGTCCATCATGCACAACTTGAGAAAGAGCTGACATGCACTGTTTCTTTTCAATGTCATCATCTGTGTTCATTATATGTATTATTAGGTTGGAGAAAAGATGATACTGACAGAGTGGATAATGGGTTGTGAAGTGAAATAAAAGAGTATGAATTATAGTTAAGAAAAGATAAAGTCATAGCAAAAAGGAGATAAGTTCTCTTTTTATACCTTTCTTTTGTTTAAAGCTTTTGAACATTACAGTTTAGGTGACTAAATTAAACATATACATTTGAAATATTTAAGATATGCTGGTGAACATCTTTTTGGAATGAATAGTGATTGCTCCATTTGTGAACTGTATTGCAAACCAATATTACTTTTAATTCTTTATTTTCTTTATGAAATGGTGAATATTATTTGTGCTAGAGGATAGTACAAGATATTAATTATCATTTATTCATTACAAATTACTTTTATAAGTTATAATTACTGAGAGTAAAAAACCAATAATTTACATAAAAGTATTTTTATTATTATACTGCTTCACTTGAAAGTCTTTTTGTTGTTGCTGTTAAATACCTGCTATTATTTTTATTTGCATTTAGGGTTAGAGCCTAACATCAAGATTTTTTTAAATGAGTTTAAAATAAAAGTTTTAAAATGTGGTTTATTATATTTACTTATATTACATGTAATGTTTTCAAAACATTTTCACAGTAACAATTATGTTTATTAATATATACATGAAAACAAATGGCTTTTATGTAAACAAGAAATAATTAAATGGCATAACAGAGGAATAACATATCACATATACAGCAGTTTCAACATTTAAATGCTTAGTCCTTAACAAAATATGTAAATTCAAAATTGAAAAAACTTTACATATTGCCACAGTATATTTATAAACACAAAAAATCTGAACAAAAATTTTACAGATAAACCATGCTATTGGAGAGACCTAATATATTATGATATCCACAATATATAAATATAGATAGATAGATGTAGATATAGATAAATAGATATATAGATATATAAATATATAGATATATAGATATGTAGATATGTAGATATATAGATAGATATAGATAAATATATTCATTAAGGTTTCAAAAACATAACACTAGTGCTTTATGTTTGTTTGTTTGTTTTTAAGTATACATGTAAAACTGAAAAACAAATAAGGCCAGGTAAACTCTGAAAAAGTGTATTGTGTGGTTAGGTGAGGTAGAATTTAGCTAAAGCATGTTATATAATATGCAAATAGATGGAACAGTGGAACAAATGAACAACTAGTAGCTATGATATGTGCAGTTTATCATTTTCCTTTTCCTTTCTTTCTTAACTATCTAACCAATGGTCCTACAATATATATATAATGATAGAACAATCTGATCAATACATTTTATAATTTTCCAAAGAAAAAAGCAAAAATAAAGAAGTGAAAGGGAGCTAAATTCAGCCTGATCATGATTGTTAAAAGTTAATTTTCTCCTATCTGCAAAGAGTAGTAGAGGCTTAAGTATAGAAAAACTTATTTTTTACAAAGACACACACCTTCAAAAACAAGTTATTAATATGGGAAGTTTAAACAGTAATTCACACCCTTGACAGTTCCATGGAGCCATGTAATTAAAAACCTAGAGCTTATTAATCCCCAAAGTATAAAAATGGAAGAGGGGTTATTATACATCAAACACTATTAGACACACTGCGTGGATCTCACTTCATGAGAGTAGAGATTTTCTTTTTGTTTTAATGCATCTGTCAAATGAACAATATTGTTCATGTCAAACTTCTACAGAGCAGCCACTGCGATTGTAAATTGTCCTTGGAGGAATTATAGCAATTAGAAAAGTATATATAAGACTTACAACATGAAGGAAGGAATGTGTGATGTACAAGACTGAAAGGACCCCATGAAAATGTCTTATGAAATGCCAAAGAGTAGTCAATCTCAACTGAGGACCTGACAAAAGTGTGTAAAAATGTTTTCAAAATGGCGGCCCAGGGAAAATTTTGTCCTGGAAATGCAGACTCATATGACCATATGAATTCACTGTTCATTATATTAACTAGGTGATGAAGTTGTAAGATCCATGCCTCTCTCTCTAGATTAAACTGGATCCTATAATCAAACATTTCCTAAAGTGTTTTCTTACTCTAAACTTAGCATTTGGGAATCTGATGAAAAGGAATTGGAGTTCAAATCTGAAAATGTTCTCATGTCACTGTCACAGCTGGAGAGAGGAATCTTCATTGGTCTCACAGCAGGGTGCTGTTTGGAGTCTAAGGTCCTCAAGTTTGGTAGTGAGGGCATCTTAATTGGGTCTTTTCAGAATTCTGTGTTTGTTAGGTTGACAATTCCATTGACCAAGAAAAGTAATTCTCTCAGATTTATACAATAAGGGAAAACAACAGCTTAACAGATTCTTATGTTTCAGAAGGAAGAAGTTATTAGAAGATATTTATATGCTTCAGAGCCTTGGTTGTCAGCTGGTGGGACTTTACTTGAAAGGCTCAGTAAGAATTTATATATATATTTATATATATATAGCTTCATATGGTAGGCACAATATGATGATAATCTTAGAGTGAGTTTGATGACTAAATTGATAGTCTTGGTAATTTACTTATTTTAGTTAATATATAATTTTACCATTAGGAGCAAATATTTATATGGAGCAAAGGGTAAGTTATTTTTGCTGTTTTCTTTAAGTTTATTTCAGTTTTCATTATCAAAGACTGAAGTCCCAAAAGTATTCTTTTATTTATTTTAATACTTCTGTCAAAAAGCAAACAAACAAACAGCAAAAACCCTTTGTACTGTAGAAAGGTTTTCTAAAAACATTTCATACTTCTGATTTGTTGTGGGAAACAGAAATGTTCATGCATAAGCAGGATGCGTTGGTATCTACTGATTGGTTATTTTTTTCTTTCTTTCTTCTTCTTCTTCTTCTTCTTCTTCTTCTTCTTCTTCTTCTTCTTCTTTTTCTTCTTTTTTTGTTTTTTTTTTGTTAATCCTCATCTAAAGATAGTTTTTCCCATTAATTTTTAGAGCAAGTGGAAGGGAGAGGGAGAGAGTGAGAGTGACAGTGAGACAGAGAAACCTAGAGACTTTAAAATATTCTTATTTCTTATTTTTATACATATGTGCAAATGGATGCTTTTGTTTGACTGAAGAAGGAAATAAGAAAAATAAGGCCTGGGAAAATGTATCTGGAAAATACAACTGACTATTAAGAAAGTCAGTGTAAACTTGAGCTATTTATGAAGATGAATTTTATATATGTAGGTATTTATACATTATGTTATGTATATGAGCACAAATATAGGAAAAATCACATGAGAGTTAAAGTTAGTATCTGTGCTAAATAAAATCTGGGATAGATTCTCATATATTATAAGATGTATATGGTTAATACCAGAGCAACTACTAAGAAAATAACAAGTAAAATAGTAAAAATAACATTAAAATATTAAAAATTTGACCTGGAAAACTACTTAATGTAAGAATGATGTATTATCAGAAGCATAAAGTTATTAAAAAGACATGAGACATAAGAAAAACAAAAAGGAGCCAAAGCCGGTTTGGCTCAGCGGTAGAGTGTCGGTATGTGGGACTGAAAGGTCCCAGATTCGATTCTGGTCAAGGGCATGTACATTGGTTGTGGACACATCCCCGGCAGGGGGTGTGCAAGAGGCAGCTGGTCGATGTTTCTCTCTCATCAACGTTTCTAGCTCTTTATCTCTCTCCCTTCCTCTCTGTAAGAAAAATCAATAAAATATATATTTTTTAAAAAAAGGAAAATGACAGACAGAAATCCAACTATATAAATAATATTAAAATCAAGTGGATTCAAAATTCAATCAAAAGGCAGAGATTTTTAGCCTACATAATTTCTGGACATACCCAAGTATATGCCATCTGTTAGAGACACATTGTCTACATTTAAATGTACATGTAAATTATTAGTAACAGATTGGGAAAATATATATCATTCAAATAACAATCATTGAAAGCAAGGAGTATCTATATTAATATCAAACAAAATTAACTTTAAAAGGAAAAAAAATGGTTTCTAGAGAAAACCTTCCTCATTATATAATGAGAAAAGATCTAATCCATCAGAAGGTGTGGCAATTATAAGCATATGTGCCAAACAACAGAATCCCAAAATAAATTAAACAAAAACTTATAAAGTAAAACATTCCTATTCAAAGCATTATATGCTAATGATATGTTAAGCTGCTCAACCGTTTGATATGATGTGCACTGACCACCAGGGGGCAAACACTCCAACTGGTGGGTTAGCTTGCTGGTGGGGTCCTGCTGATTTGAATTGAGAGAGCTGGACATGCTCTAGAGCCCTCCTGCAGTCCCTCTCCTGCTGGCCCAACTCCCGTGTCCCTCCCTAGCCTGTACCCTCTCACAATCTGGTCTGAGGGACCCCCTTACCGGAGTGTACGGTTTTCATGCACTGGGCCTCTAGTAATACTATAATAATGTTAAATTTAACAACTTCTTTGAATGAAGAAAACTAACAATAACAACATAATAATAACGTTAACAATCAGTTGATAATTAATGCATAGACATTTTACTATTGAAATATATTTTCTATGAGTGAAGCTTAAAGTACATAATGTAAATGAAGTATTTTACAAAGGTTTGAGTATTACCACTGTTTTTCCCTAAAAGGAACAAAAACATTTCCAAAGATTGTATATAAAATAAAATATTATTTTATTAAATAATATTTAATAATATCTCCAGAAAAGGGGGGGGGGGTTCCCCCAGCTATGTTTTCACTTAGTAAAGGGTAGTTTTATGGTAAGTATTGGATTTCAATTTCTCAATGCTAGAATGGGAAGTTTTTGTGTATCCAACCCATTTATGAAGTTTTCAATCTATGTTCAATTCACCAGTTTCTACTTGCTACCAGAAATAGCATAACAAAATGAAACCCACTCATTCACACATTTCTTAAACCTTTATTGAATACTTTCTAATTGGAAAATGTTTAGAAATAAGATCTGATTCCTATCCCCTTGTAATGTATCATCCACAGGTAAAATCAGTATTTTCCTCAGAACACATGTCATGGCTATTTTATGGAGAAAGCAAATATATTTTTTAAGTTGCTAAAGTAACTATTAGTCTTACTTTCTAAACACACAAGTAGTTTGTGTTATAGCAATTAATTTTATGGCTGACTTTTGGGAAACTTTCAAACAAACCAGTTGCTTTTAAGGACTATTTTAGAAGCTTACATTTTCCATATAATGCTAAATATGACCAAAACACTATTTTTCATTTATAAGCAATAGTTCTGTCTTTAAGTGTAAAATCTGAAGTCCATGATAAAATCAGATATAGTTTCAAACCTATTTCTGTAGAGTCTGAATAAATACAGCTTTATGTGAATTTGCCACAGAAATCTATTTTGTTCAGAGTTTTCTTAAATTATTTCTGAACCAGGAACTCTAATAATTGTGAATTTCTAAGACATAATTTCTTGCATAATATCAGTAACATTTTTATTATGTTGAATTTCTTGTTTTGCTTATCTTTTTAATTTTGAATGTACCGTGAAAATTTTCCTGATTCCCAGGCAAAAGTTTTTGTGTTACATTTTACTTGAAAATTTTTTTTAAAAAAGGAGTAAACTGGACTGCATATGTATGATGTATGTATGGATGTTTTTGAAGAGTCTTGCTATACTAAGCCACATTTTCTCTAGTTGCTAGAAATATTTTTCTATTGCATTTACATATAGTGATATATTATTTTTTATCTTTATTTTGCCATGAAAAAGTGAAATAGCCTAGCTTCCTTAAGTTTTATAGTAAAATGACATAGAGGTGATTACTTAAGTAATTCAAAAGTTAATATTATAATTACCATATTCATGCTGAAAATTAATTGCAATACACCTCATTAAAAGAAGTAGTTTTGTGTAATTAAATTTTAATAATAGTCTGAGTTAAAATTTAGCTCTTGTATATACAATTATACTTCACATAATCATTTTTTTCTTTCATCTGAAAACAAATATATATGTTATGCACATAAAGTGGAAGATTGACTATATTATAGCTTCTAGCTCTGTGACTTTATGCTTTAGATTAAGTGTCAAAGAAAAATTGTGTGCATGTGATTAATATGATTTTGTGTACCTGGCCAGATTTTTATTTTACTTGATAATATCTAAATAGCTTTTTATAGCTCTAACCTTTTTCATTGCTTTTCACATTTTCTTCTAAGACATGAAATGTCATGGAGCTGTTTGTTCAGAACCTTTAAGACGACCTTTCTCTGGAGTATATCTCAATTTTGAAATAAATTTGATGATTATATAGTCAAACAATATTAATAGAGTATCTATTGTTTATAAGGCATATAGATTATAATCTTGATATTTAGGCTAGCAAATAAATATATTTAACTTCTTCTGTCCCTAGATATTTTCATTAAATGATAAAAAAAAAATTAAATTTTAATATTTAAAATGAGACCATATTTTAAACTTAGACTTTCACCTAAGGTATTTCTGTTTTGTCTTTTCAATTATATTATTCACTTATTTTAAATTTAAGTAAAATTATTGTTGACTTACTTAATAATGAATATAATGCATTTATTAAGTCGTTTGTGCAATTTACTTTTTCAAAGTAAAAGTTCTTAGAATTTATAAGAATATTTGAAACATTTTAATAATATATGTGGACCACTATAATTTTATTAACTTTTTTCTTTTTTTACAAAATTGATGTACTTGTCACTGAATTGCTTTCAACTTAGTATTAATTTATCTTAGCACTGGACATCCATAAGCATGCATATCAGTATTTATTAATATTATCAATTATGATGAAACATACTTGACATAATGAGTAAAACGTGGTGAGTGCTTTAATAAACTGGGTAAATTTGTTTTAGCCCAATGGTTTTCAAAGGGACGTCCTTGCATTTTTGGGACAATTTGAAAATTATTAAGGTCATTCTAATCAGTGGAAATGACTGAAACAGCTGGCCTTTAGCAGGTGTGGGGTAAAGAATGAATGCTATAAATCCTACATTGCCCAGGACTTCCATGATTAAAAAAATATTACAAGGTTTAAACTATTCCAAAAGTTCCAATATATATTAATATGATTATAAAGACTTTTTATAAATATCATTTTATGCATTGAAACTTAATACTTTTACAAAAATGTAATAATCATTCGATTAATCAGAAAGAAAACTTTCATGTTAATCAAGAAAATATTATGCTTTATTTAGAAATTTATTGGAATTTGTTAGCCATATTAGAGAATTATATCATCCTACTTGAATTTTGAAAAACTAACTACTGTCATCAGCTTCCATTATTCTGTATATTGATGCAAAGAAGTAAGCACATCAATGTAACTTCAAGTTCAGTAATTTCTACAAAGGATGCATTTTTTTACATAACTACATTCAATAACAATTTAGTGTCCTTTTATATTCACCTATTAGAGCTAGGTCATTATCTTGATTTTTTAAATATTAGGTTTATAGATAGGTTATACTTTAAAATTATTTTTTAAAATGTCTTATTGATTTTTTTTGAAAGAGAGAAAGAGAGAGAGAGAGAGAGAGAGAGAGAGAGAGAGAGAGAGAGAGAGAGAGAGAGAGAGAGACATTAATGTGAGAGCAAAACATTAATGGACTGCCTCATGCATGCCCCCTACTGGGGACTGAGTCTACAACTGAGGCATGTGCCCTGACCAGGAATTGAACCTGAAACCTTTTTGTGCACAGGACCATGCCCAACCACTGAGCAACATGGGCCATGACATATATTAATTCGAATGTATAAAGTATAGGGGGTGCCACAGAAAATAGAAATATATTACAAACAGAAAATACTGACCAAACCCTAACCAGTTTGGCTCAGTAGATAGAGCATTGGCCTACGGACTCAAGGGTCCCATGTTTGATTCTGATAAAGGGCATGTACTTTAGTTGCAGGCACATACCCAGTAGGGAGTGTGTAGGAGGCAGCTGATCAATGTTTCTCTCTCATCCATGTTTCTAACTCTCTATCCCTCTCCCTTTCTCTCTGTAAAAAATTAATAAAATATATTTGAAAAAAATTGACCTAATTTGCTGTAGAATATATATTTTTGAGAAATGTTAACAAATGAAATCCTATAAAATATGAGGGATATATTTAAGTCAGAAATAAGAGATCTGATTTTCTTGAGCATGTTGATGTAAGCAAATTGATTGTCAATTCTGGGTCTGCTATTGATACATTATATTGCCTCATATTTCCAATTGGTTAGTAGACTTATGGGTTTGATTTTATCAAATTTGTTATGGTCAAATGCAGATTCCTAGTTCTACTGCAATTTTTCTCCTGCTAAATCTTCTCTGCATTAAAGGGTAGTACAGTCCTAAACTGCTAAGACCTGAAAGGAGACATTCTCAATTAATTTCTTCTACATCCTATAATTAATATATTTGTAAATTATTTATTTTTTTCCAAAATATATCTTGAAATGGCCACTGCTTACTATCTGCAAAATTCCTACTCTCTTACCTTGATCATATATTTCTGTTGCTGCATTACTTCCTGGTTTATTTAGGTTTCATTAAATTAGAAATTATTGTAGGAAGAATTAAATGATAGACCTTCCTATTCTCACAAAGGGTCTGTTGTCCATTTAGAAAAGCTTTAAAAAAAATATATATATATATATATATATATATATATATATATATATATATGGAAAAATAGCATTATGATTAAATTGGTATGGTTGAGGCATACAACTACATAATTATCTTACTAATATATGTAGGACACTATGTAACTTACTATCCCAATCCAATTACTTTTAAAGTAAATGAATACTACTAATAATTAATCTAAAAAATGATTAATGCATGACTAGGGCAGGCTTATATGCCCTGTGACAGTTGTTTATACTTTACTTAGGGTTTTTTGAGTTTGTTAGTTTAACTGGTTGTTTTTGGGGACATGGCAAGGTAGAGGTCATTGAAGGGAAGTATTGCCTTTTGTCATTTTATTTCAGGTGAACGTATGCACATTTGCTATGGCTGGTCACAGTCTTACCTACTTAGTAATGGATAAATTTAACTGTCTTCTGTAAAATAGATGTAGTACTAATAATTTTACAGATGATAAAACTAGGGCACAGAGAAATTTATTTATGAATTAGTGAGAAAAGAATTAGAACCAAGCTTCCCTCTCCGAGGCCAGTGATGTGAATATATGAAAGCATCAATTATACTGCCTGCCATTAACAATCTCAGTGACCCTTGGCAATTTACATTAAATGGCTAAGTTTTTTTTTCGTTTTTTTTTTTTCACAAATACAAGAAAAAAGGTTTGAACTAATTGAACTTTAACATTCTAGCTGGCTCCGAACACCTACCATCATATAAATTTAAGAGTGTAATGACTTAGGTTCAGTAGGTTAATTTTCATTAATAATAATAAGCAAAGTGATTTGACATTGCTCTTCTCAACTCATTGACATGTTTATGTAATTATCTTAAGTGCCCTTTGAATAGTTGGCAAAGGATACTTGAAAATCACTTTACTTAAGTTTAGAACAAAGATTATCAACCCATGATTTAGGTATTTTTCTCACCTTATATTTTCTTTCTTTTTCTTAGGCTTTGTCAGTGTGTATATGTGATAGACAAATAAATGTGGCTATCTATACATATAAAAGCCTAATATGCAAAGTGTCCCCTTGGGAGTTCAACAAACTTGAGTTCAATCACTCACCATGACATGTGCTGACCACCAGGAGGAGATGCAGAATGAAGGAAGGCCCTGGCCAGCAGCTGGAAGCTGCTAGGGACCCTAGCTGTGCATCAATTTCATGCACTGGGCCACTAGTATTATATAATATACAATCATGTTAAAATGATTTGTAATCCACATTACCTAAGGTGGTGCTTTAAATGTAAATAAGACAACAATTGTCCTTGCTTTCAAAGCACTTATATGATAGACTACAAAGGAGCTGAGATACACAAGAATTTGAAATAAAACTTATTAGCATTCTGATAGGGTAAGAAGAGAACACATCTTTTGAGAGAAAGTCAGAGTTTTTTTTACTTCAATATCAGACCATTAGGTCAATTGTCAGTCATATAGAAAATGCACATGCATATGCATGGGATGAATATAGGTGTGAACGAATAAATGCTATCAATAATCTATTAATTAAAATCCAATTTTTTTTTAGGCATGAGACTAAATGTTTCAAACTTGTTTGGCACAGGTCTTAGCCTATCAATAATGATGTCATTGACTAGGAATGCCTGGTCACTCCCTATCATCTAGGGATTCCTAGGCACTCACTATTCTGCTAGGAATGTCTGGGCCACTCACTTGGACAGGTTCTACTAGTTGGGTCAAACCACAGACATTTCCCCTACCAAAGCCCATGTTGTAGCTGGACTGGCCCTTGTATATAGTTGTAAAGGAATCTCAGTAACGACCATCAGGGAACTTTGTAAAAATGAGTTTTATTATCACAAATCCTGAAGAATAAGTGGCACATGTGGGCCACATCACAAGCTAACATCTCAGGAAAAGAGATAGAGCGCAGACCTGGGGTTCAGCCTGGATTGGTGTTGAGGGTTGGGTGTGGTGCATAAAGTTTCACAAGTTCACTCTTTTTGTGAATTTAAAAGGTAATAGCAGGAGTTTAAATGCCCGAGGGGAAAGCAGGGTCACACAAAAGGTCAGTTATCTGGGTTAACCAGGACTTTCTATAAAGAGGAATTTCTTGTGATGGGCAGCCTGGTTTTTTAGCGACTTATGTAGCTGGCCATGTATTTGTTAAAAATAATGCATTGAAGTAGATGCCTCGGTGACCTAAAGCTTAACATTAGGCACTATTACCAAAATGTAAATGAATCAAAACCTAACTGCCAGGCCCTCACTACAACATTTCACTGCATATTCTTTACAAAAAAATGGAAACACACACATACACACACATACACACACGTACACATACATCCTGTCGCTGAGCCTCATCAGAATTGTTGATATTATTCTAGATCACATTAATAGGAGCAATTAAGGGGAAGAACCTGTATATGAATCTAGGTCTGTCTGCAGCAAAAGTTCTTTTCATTCATTATTCTGCACAGTAAGCAAAATTAAATTTTGACAAGTATGAACACTATCCATCATTATTATATTTCTTATCCTGTGCATTTGACTAAATACACAATAAACACTTAAAATATGTTAACTTATATGACTAATTGAGTTTTTTTCGTTCTTGCATGTTTCAGATGCAGCTTTTCTCTTGGTCACACCGGCAGATTCTGTATTCAGCGTCGGAAATTGCTTAGGAAACCAGAGTACATCACGGCATGGCCTCTGCCGGGTCCATTTGCACAGCTGTAACTGTAGCTGTCTGCAAATATATGAAAGAAACATCTGTGAAATAGGAAGTGAAGATTGTAAATCCATGCCCTGCACAAATGCAGCAACCAGAATCATTTTAAGTGGCTGTTTCTTCTGCCCTTCTGTCCCTGGATTTACCGGCAAGTATTTCACGAGAAATCAAATTCTCTATTGGAAATGTTAATACATTTATTTAACATAACTCAAATATGTTAATGATTGGTGTTGTAGCCTGCTTTCTCATTTGGCCAAGTAAAAAATACATTCACTTGGAATAATAGAATTGCTTCTTCTGGCAATTACATTGCTGACTACATAGCCTTGGCTCATGCAAATGAGGCTAATAAGGCCAGGCTCTACCGTTTAGAATATGATGTATATGTCAAAGGTCTGAATAGAAAAACAGACTCCATAACCTCCCAATAATTTTGCCTAAACAGCTTTAATACTGCCCTTCAACCTCATCTTTGGCTGCCTAAGCATATTGAGAACCCTTTTTTTTTTTTTGTTTGAAAATAAAAGTTGGCCTCAATATTTTCTAGGTCAGTTTTATGACCCAGCATTAATAAGATTTAAAAAATAAAATCACTAGCATACTATATTCTCTGTAAAGTCATAGATGAGATCATAGTGTCTATGTGGTAGTAAAGCAGTTTTTGACATAAAAATGTAAGATATTAAGCTTTCAAATTTTGTTACTTGCAATTTTATTCTTGCCCTTATATTGAAGTGATTGTTCATAATAATTTCAAAAAATTTTTTTACTATAATTGCCTTAGAGAGAGCAGTAAGGAAGCCATACATGAAGAAAATAATACTATCACTTTTAAATCAAAACTAACTTTCAATACTGGTAAAATATTTTTTTAAGTTTGATATTTCATTTTATTGAATAGACCAAACTTTAAAAGTTATTTGGATTTCCATCTTAAAATGAAAATCAGTTTCCCTATTTGATATTTAAAGTGCTATGCTGAAAGTTTTGGAGGCAATTTAAAAAGATAAGTTCTAAAAATGGAAATGGTGCTATCATTGGAATAAATATATTGCCATCCAGATTAGCTTTTAAAAGATGAAAATATTTGAGTGCACAAATTCTGGTAATCTTGCTAAAAAGTTGGTACTATTACTTCATATTTCACATTCCAAACATATTCTTGGTGAGAATAAAATAGCAAAAAGTATGCTAGAATTGTTGAAATACAGTTATCTACCTTAGGGGGGAAATTATATATATATTTTCACATTCTTGTTTTTATAACATGGTATCTTCTCTGAAATTTTGTGGTAATATAGCTTTAAGCATCATTACACATAAAATAGAACAAATTAAATTTTACTTTCTTAATATGATTACTAAGAGTATATATCATTTAATGTTTACGTAGACTATATGTACATACCATGCTTAAACATATGTACATGCTTATAATCAGTGAGCAATCTATCACTTAATGTATTAATACTATATTTTGGTTATACATTAGATGAACATTAAATATGTGTTATATGTTTTTCATATGGGTAAACCAAATGCAATACTTACCATTACTTTATAATAGAAACTTGGTACAACTCACTTCCCAGCTAGGAATAAAAATATGATTACCTTTATTTTTCTTTTCAAATTAAACTCAATTTAAGATTTATCAGCCTATATTATCCAGAAAACTGGTATTTTCTAATGAGGTCTATTTCCCCAGATTGGAAAGAACTCTGTGGGTTTCCCTATTTCAAAGTATTCAGTCCTACTTGTAAACTCTTCACACCATAACAGGGCATTTGCTCTCTTGAAAGAGTATAGTCTTAGGAGAAGGGTCTGAAAAGAATCGTTTCAAAGGTGTGCTAACCTAGATGCACAGAAACAATGGGCAGATGGGCCTTTTATAAAGAAGTTGTATGTCCATGGCATGACTGTCCACCATGATCTTCTCAGTTAGGAATTTATTATCAGATCAACCAGTGCGGTTACTGTTCCTAGGACCACATTTTCATCCACTTGATTTGCTTCTTGATTTGAGTTACCACATTCTTTTTCCTTTTTTCATAGTTTTCTTGGTAACTAAAAGAGCTAGGGAGGTTGTTTTCTATTCTATTCTATTTATTTTACTTCATTTTATTATTTTATATTTTATTTTATTTTATTTTATTTTATTTATTTTATTTTATTTTATTTTATTTATTTTATTTTTATTTTATTTTATTTTATTTTATTTTATTTTATTTATTTTATTATTACCAGCAGGGGAATTCAAAGTATTCTACAAAATTACACCCATTTTGAATGGGTCTGCACTAAGCCTCCTTGATATACTGCCTTCTTTTCATTTGATTTCCATAACTAGTACTCCTATCTTTAAACAAACTCCTCTGAGATGGCCTTATATTTTATCAATTCAACTTGCACAGATATGTGGTTCTCTACTCTCCCAGATGCCAACTAGACAATTATCTTTTTAAGATTCATTACCTTGGGAATAAAAACATTTTCAAGTTCTATTAATATCTTTTTTTTTTTCACAGACCTCCTTTTCTTTAACTCCTGTTTCTGTAGACATTTGATAGTATATTTCAGCTTTTTTGTGGTTTAGCTGGAATCCAGATCCCTTTATGCACTCTCAAATAGTGATGCCTGATTGCTACTATCCTAATATGTTGGCTTATATCTTAGATGTTTTTGCCATTATGAGATAGTATCTGTATATGTTGTATCCGTAGGGCTTTGGTGACATAGGAGAAAGTGAGTCCATTCTATATGCTAGAACTCATTGGAATCCTCAGGTTATCAATTTCTTTGTATTTTTTCCCCCTATTAAATCTAGACCCTAGAAACCAGTTAACTTTTGTCTTAAACTTTTGTTAATTTATTGTTTTCTTTGTTATTTAATAATTAAGAGTTTAAGACTTGAAGCAACCATTCTCACTTTTCAAAGATGATCCCCAGAAATGTTTTCCTTTTCTGTTTATAGATGCCCACTGATATTGTCGTGGAAAGATCAAACTCCCTTATGGATAATTAACATTGTATTTCATGTACATAGTTTGTAACCTACTTTACGTAACTTATACATGGATTGTGAGCATCACTGGATATCTGTAAGAAAGATATAAATCCTTACTTTAAGTGACTTTAAAATATTTACTTAAATGTATGCACCATACTTTAAATAGAATTGCTAGGTCAAAGAAAATACATATGGATTATTTGTTTATCTGTTTATTTTTGTTTTTCTATATACATTCACCATAGCAAACATTAAGTTTTAACTTTTTTTAAGTTTTTTTAAAGATTTTATTTTATTTTGATTTTCATTTTTGGAGTAATAAAAATATTCAGTATTCAAAAATGTGAAATTCTTCTCTTTGGAAAATTTTTAGACTCTTTAATCAATTTTTTTTCTTTTGAAAAGTATATCTTCTCATAATTCTTTTTTAAAAATATATTTTATTGATTTTTTACACAGGGAAGAGAGAGGGATAGAGAGTTAGAAACATTGATGAGAGAGAAACATCGATCAGCTGCCACCTGCACACCCGCTACTGGGGATGTATGTGCCTGCAACCAAGGTACGTGCCCTTGACTGGAATCGAACCTGGGACCCTTGAGTCCACAGGCTGATGCTGTATCCACTGAGTCAAACCGGTTAGGACTCATAGTTATTTATAATATTAAGATAGCCTCACTTATTATTTCCAGGAAGATTATAGTGTTATGTGCAATTAATTGGTGTTATTTAATACCATGTTATCAAACTTATAGGATAAAGTACTGTGCTAAGGGTGACATTGAACATTCTTTTCGTGTCCTTTAAGTTTGATCTTTAGATTATGGTACCATTTGACCTGGTGTTGGCTTGATATTAAATAGGTAATAAATAAAATGGAATATTTCCATTTTTATTTTAAATAGGAATAGAAGGGGAAATTATAGTATGGCAAATAGTCATCTAATAGTGAAATTTACACTTGTATACTTTCATGATTCATATATATATATATATATATATATATATATGCACACAACACACAATATTAGTCTGTGTATTTTTAGAAGTTTAGTTTTCAGTCTTACAGTTTCAGGTTTACTTTTTACAAAAACATGGAAAATGCTCTTTCTCATGTTATACTCTGAAATATATAAAATAAAGTGTTTTTAAAGCATGCAAAAATTTCTAAGAGTTTGCTAGCAATTAAAAATTAAGCATATCTCTTTATTGCTTTGGGGAAGGTTAATTGTTCTATAATCTTAACAGCTTCCAGGGTCTTATTGACTCAATTTACTAACTTGTACTGTTTGGTATCAGAGGCCCTGCGCATGAAATTCGCACACGCAGGGTGAGGGGGTCCCCCGCAGCCCAGCCTGCACCCTCTGCAATCCAGAAACCCTTGGGGGATGTCCGGCTGCTGGTTTAGGCCTCATCCCAGGGATCAGGCCTACACCAGCAGTAGGATATCCCTCTCACAATCCAGGACTGCTGTCTCCTAACTGCTCACCTGCCTGCATGCCTGATTGTCCCTAACTGCCCCTCCCATCAGCCTGATCACCCCTAATTGCCCCCCTTGCAGGCCTGGTTGCCACCAACTGCTTCTCCTGCTAGTCTGGTTGCCCCTCAGTGCCCCTCCCCCACACACACACCTCCAGCCTGGTTGCCAATGCAGCCTGATGTTTAATCATTTGTTTATCCCTCACTAACCCCCCTGTCTGCCTTGTCCCCCCATGCAGCCTGCTATTTGATGATTACTGTAAGATCAATTTGCATATTACCTGATCAATTTGCATATTACCCTTTTATTAGTATAGATAAATATTAATATCATTTTGGCATTTAAAATTTAGTTGTCATAAAGTAATAATTTTATCTGAGGCCATGTTTTGCTCTTTGTTTCATTTTAATCTTTACCATATTCTAGAGGTTATATTAAACAAAAAGGGATGGGAAAGAGGGCAGTTAGACGTTTGTCGCTTTAGAAGATTTTTACCTATCCTTCGTGGGCTTATACTTCTCAAAAAAAATTAAACAGAAAATATATAACTTTTAAAATGACAAAGGAATTGCAGCCTCACTGAAAGCAATGTTATTAATGTGATTGGACAACAGCTCTTTAGCTACAGAACTACACTTTTTTTTTCAGATTCTCA